CATAAGTGGATAAATGCATTTGGGTTTGTTGGCCCTTTTTTCTTTTCAAAAGGAATTCTGTTTATTTTATTACTATTATTAATTGTTCCAATGCTGGTCATAGTGTCTTTCTATTTACTGAAAATAGGAGACCATTGAGCTCTTTCTGGGGGAAAACAGGAATTCATTTTACTAATTTTCTGGTCATACTGACCTCAAAGAAGGAAAAGACAGATTAGGAAAAAAAAACAAGTTTTTCATGCTTGAAAATTTAAAATTATTTCAGTGGGAACACATAGTATATCTTGATTTTCAGCTTGTCAGTCAAAACATAATACAATTGCCTGTTACTGAGTATATTGATAACTTTAATGGAATGTAATTGGTAGAATCTGCCAAAAAAATTACCTCATAGCTTTCATTCATTAAAATACAAGTTAGAATTACTTCCAGTTAACTGCTTAAAACTTCAAATAGTGGGATGTCATAGGAAGAAAAAAAAATGTGACAACCTTTCTCAACTTAGTTAAATCCTAAATCTGTGAACTACTTGCCCATAATGTCATTAGGAATTATTGAGACTTCTGTATGGTGCAATAATAAAATAGGTTGGGGTGGGAAGTGGAGAAAACAGGATAACTTATCCATCTCTTTATGTTTCTTTTGTGTGGGAAGAAATTCTCCATATTTTTAAGGGAACATTCATCCCTTATGAAAACTGGAGAAGAAAAATCGCCATTCTGGAATGGAAAAAAAATCACAATTCTTTGAGACAAAATGCATTATCACAAGATGGCTTAGGTTAAAAACAAAGTCATCATCCAAGTATAGTTTGACTTTGTTCAACAGCCTAGCTTCCATTCTTTTTAAATTTTGGTCACAATGTCCAAATGAATAGTGTTATGTGATTATAGTTTTCTACCTAAGATAATTTGTCCAAAAAGTAGTTATCCAGTTACACACTTTTCTGTCTTGAAGTATTGTCTCAAGGGCATTATTGCCATATTTACAAACAAGTGGCAGCTTAAACTAAGCAGCAGGAAGATAAAGATTCTCTTGAATTAAGCTCATGTTCCCACATGGACATTTGTGGTCACTAAGATATTTACAGAAGTGTCTTTCTCCAATTGTTTCTAAAATCTGAAGGAGTTTGCATGCACCAGATCCTGTCAATAAAACAATGTCACCTGAGAAGACCCAGGAGGTGTGCCTTTTCTGTACTTGATCTTATGAAAAAAAAAATCCCCCTCCCCTTGAGGTCTATCTAGCCCTGGCCCTACTGCTATATAGATGTAATTGTTCTTCTCCAATTTTTTTAAACTATTTTTAATTCTGAATAAGTCACAAGAGTGGATAGTGAGGGAATGGCTTCACAAATTAAAATCATACATAAATAAAACCATAATGTTTTCCCATAATGTTTCATTAGTTCCCCAGTCTAACCTACACACTTGATTGTCTCCTACCAAAGTACTGAACAGATCTAACTATGATTAGGATAGGGGCAATTAATCAAGGTCAGTAGATGATGCCAATTCTTATACTGCAGCAGCCACTCATTAAAATAAAAAAATGGTCAAAGTAGGTTTGCTAAAGGAGATGGTAGGACTCAGAATGATGTTTCATGCTTCTTTCATTTGGATTCATTTTATCTTACTTCTATAATGTCAAGGACCCATTCAGTACACTAAGAAGTAAAATAATGTCCCAAAAGTGTTTTTTCAAGAGGCAACAGGATTTTCTTGTTTTTCTTTGAAAACATCTGATGCTCATTGTTGTTGTTGTTAATTGCGAAGTCGTGTCCGACCCATCGCGACCCCATGGACAACATTCCTCCAGGTCTTCCTGTCCTCTACCATCTTCTGGAGTCCATTTAAATTCACACCTACTGCTTCAGTGACTCCATCCAGCCATCTCATTCTCTGTCGTCCCCTTCTTCTATTGCCCTCAATCTTTCCCAGCATTAGGCTCTTCTCCAGTGAATCCTTCCTTCTCATTAGGTGGCCAAAGTACTTGAGTTTCAACTTCAGGATCTGGCCTTCTAAAGAGCAGTCGGGGTTGATCTCTTCTAGGACTGACCGGTTTGAACGCCTTGCAGTCCAAGGGACTCGCAGGAGTCTTCTCCAGCACCATAGTTCAAAGGCCTCAATTCTTTGGCGCTCAGCCTTTCTTATGGTCCAACTTTCACAGCCATACATTGCAACTGGGAAAACCATGGCCTGGACTATACATACTTTTGTTGGCAGGGTGATGTCTCTGCTTTTTAGTATGCTGTCTAGATTTGCCATAGCTTTCCTCCCCAGGAGCAAGCGTCTTTTAATTTCTTGGCTGCAGTCCCCATCTGAGGTGATCTTTGAGCCCAGAAAAATAAAATCTGTCACTACCTCCATTTCTTCCCCATCTATTTGCCAGGAATTGAGAGGGCCGGATGCCATGATTTTGGTTTTCTTAATGTTGAGTTTCAAGCCAACTTTTGCACTCTCCTTCTTCACCCGCATCAAGAGGCTCTTTAGTTCCTCTTCACTTTCTGCCATTAGAGTGGTATCATCTGCATATCTTAGGTTGTTGATATTTCTCCCGGCAATCTTAATTCCAACTTTTGATTCATCTAGCCCTGCCTTTCTCATGATGTGCTCTGCATATAAGTTAAATAGGCAGGGCGACAGTATACAGCCTTGCCGGATTCCTTTAACAGGTTCTTGTATTCCAATCCACAAATTAATTATCAATAACCTCAATTATCAGATAATTATGGGGAAATGGGGTGGAACCTTATTTTCCTGTTGGATAAATACAGTACAAATCACGGAGTCCTGGTTTGAATCTCCATTCTGCCAAAACATAGCTAGATAGTTTTAAGCAAGCCTAGGCATCTGTTCAATATGGGAAATACTGGAAGTGCTTATAAGGATTACAACTAGCTGAATGGAAAACTGCGGTCCAGAAACCTAACATTCCAGTATTTTATAAAACACTGCTTTTCTCCTGATCTGGTTGTTTTGAGGGCAATTTTTGGCAAACGATTCCTTTGACCTCAGAAATGATCCATGGTCTGCCAGACTGGCTGTACAGCATTGTACTCTGGGGAACACTAGAATGATCCATTCCTGGACTATACAGTTTTGAACACTGCAACCATACATGAAGTACTTTGAATACTGAAAAAGACAACTAATATATATTATGATCCTAAAGAAGCAAGGCATGGCAGTAATGAATTGTTTAATATGGAGAAAAGTGTGCACCATTAATTGTTCCGATATCCTACCCTGTATGGTAAAACCACCATCACCTTCTTTTGAGTTTTTCTCTAGTGATAACTATTAAAACTTTGCAGTGACAAGCAAGAGATGTTAGAGATCTGTGGTGTTCTCTGAGCTTGTTGTTTTCTTGCAGATGTTTCATGACCCCCAACTAGATAATATCATCAGTGCTAGTAAGGAATGGGGTTTGCTGTCAATAAATATTCTAGTGGCTTGCCCTGTCAGTGTTAGAATGGTCTTGGAGTTTCTTTGGTTGGGCTGTTTACTGTTAGATTGTTTGACAGTTCCTTGATTGGAGTATTCTTTTTTTTATTGTTGGTCTGATGTTAATCTATGTTCATCTGAGTGCTGATTGCTGGTGGGGAGATGTTTTGGTCTTTTTGTTCCCTTTTTAGTTTGTTGATTGTCTCTTTTACACAGTATGTAGATGCTGTTTATATTTATATGTCTATTGATGGCCTGTTTGTCATAGTGCCAGGCATCCAGAGTTTTTGGACTTGGCTTGGTCTAGGATGGTCACAGTTTCCCAGTTGAAATTATGGTTAAGTCTGTCCATATGCATTGAAATTAAAGGGTTTTAATGCTAGTTGGTATTCATGGATGCGTTTGCCAGTCCTCTGCCTGTTTGTTCTACATAGTGGCTGTTGCCGTCTTTACACTATATGTTACTGATGACTCTGTTTTTTTCTCCTGGGACTGCTGGGTCTTTTGGTTTATGTAGAATGTTTTGAAGGGCTTTAGTTTGTTTATTTACTATGGTGATTCCACGTAGTTGTAATTGTATGTTGGTGGTTTTTGAGATGTTTTTGATGTATGGCTGTGTTATCCTTTTTACGGCTTGTTTTAGTTGTGCTATATTGGTTTGACGAAGTTGTGTAGATATATATTTTGTTGGAAGATGCTGTATAGATTATCTGTTTCCTTTTTCTGCTGTTCAGGGTTACTGTAGTATGTTTGTGCTCTTCTGAATATACAATTTATATACACCTTTTTCACCTACTGCTTATTCCTTGCAAATAAATCATTTGAGATCCCAAAAAATACAATACAACATAATACAATTATTTGTATATCTCCTAAAAAGGCTATAGATCTCTTTATAATCCCTTTCAAGACCCTATATCCCTTTTTTGAAAAATAAGATGAAGGGGTTGAGTACATAAATATCATTTTGCAAGTCCATTATTTATTAAGGAAAAATTACCCATAAACTTTCAAAGAAAAGAAGCATATATGTGCACAATATGAGGAGATTAGTAAAAGACAAATATGAAGTGAGTTTTAATGGTTGTTTGGGTGCATTGAGATGTAATGAAAGACAATGATTTCCCACTACATGTGGGAACTGTGAGCTGGACTTTTCTTTTTTCCTCTTATATCACTATGAGAAAAGAAGCACAAGTTTCTACTTTGGAAATTGCACTCTGATGACAAGTGGGAATTGTGGTTTTAAAATAAGGCAGAATCTGAAAATATAATTCAACCATGGATTGTTCAAACTAAAAGAAATCATAGTTCATACAGAAGTAAAAATGTGAACTTTGGGTACTTTAAAAGTGAAAGTGACTGCTTTTGTTAGAACTATGCAATAATATATTGATGGAGGGATTGCGTGAATCAGTGGTTCATGTACATTTATACACATAATAGGAAATTTACCGTTCCCTTTACTTCCATTATAGAATAGTTACTGCAATAATACAAGCATTCAAAATAAACTGTTCTTCATTTTTTCAAAAATTAACATCATCTTCTTACCTTGCGTTTTCTTTTGTAATTCCTTACATTTATTTTGTAATTCATTCTCCCGTAAAAGAGAAGCCTGAAGTTGCTTAGCTTCCAGTGCAGCTGCATTTGACTTCACTCTTAGGTGTTCCACCTCTTCCTGAAGTACTAGATTTTTCCTCTGACACTCACCTAAGGTTTGGTTCAAACTGGATACTTCTGAAATGTGATAAAGGCCAAAACAAAAATATAGAAGTATCCATCCTATAACTTTTATAATAATAATAAAGTTGGAAGGGACCTTGGAGGTTATTGAGTCCAACCCCCTGCTCAGGCAGGAAGATTTATGTACTCTCATTATATTATCCAAAAACATCTTTATTTGTTGCTATACTATTCTATAAGAAAACAGAGTAGGTATCTGTAGTTATTAAGATACTACATTATTTCAACTTGTCAACTAATTGATGCAAACAAAAATACAGATATTCTACTACAGATATGTATTCTATAAGAAAGGAGAATAGGTATCTGTAGTTATTAAAATACTAGTATCATTTCAATTGATAGTTAATTGATACAAACTAAAAGAATGGATTTACTCCTAGAAATAAGGAGACATTTTCTGACAATTGAGAACAATTAATTAGTAGAATGGCTTGCCTTCAGAAGTTGCGGGTGCTTCATAACTGCAGGTTTAAAGAAAAAAATGGACAGCCATTTGTCTGGAATTGTCTCCTGTTTGAGCAGGAAGTTGGATTAGAAGACCTCTAAAGTCCCTTCCAACTCTTTGTTATTCTGTTATTCAATTCTTCTGTAATTCATAGTGAAAAGCTAAACATTACAAGCAATATACTGTTGATAAAAGTCCTGTAAAGACTTTGTCAACTTGATTAATTCACCCTGCAGCCTAATACCTATGTAATGGTCAATTATCTCTCCTAATAGTATTCACTGTATGTTAAAGTGTATGTTAATATCTTGAAAAAACTTACAAGTTAACATTGACATCAATTTGCATTTTAAAAATCTACAGAAAAATATGTGGCCTATTTTTCAGGTTGACCCTAAAACTGTTTTCCTAATATATATGCTTTTCCATTAATTATCTCCAAGATTATCCGTGTTTGTGTGATGTGTCATTAGTATTTATGCTTTCAGTGGCACTTTACATAAGAAACATTTTTCTGTGCATTTTAAAGGAAAAACTGAAACCTAAAATTCAGAGAAATGAAATTATATCCAGAATCATACTGATTTTGGTAAATTGCATCAAAATGGAAACTGAAAATATTTTTCTAATCCCCACACCATACAGTACCATAAGCATGTCTCAATGAGAACAAGGTATTAAATTAATGTAGCATTGGCTTGATAATAAAATATATGTGAACTGTAAATCCAGTCTGAAAGTGGAACATGCTAAGAAAAGCTTTGCTTTGATAATCTACCTGCCAGTCCTATTTTATTAATGGTTTTTAGTTGTAAAAATATCTCTCCTTTTAGTGAAATCCATTCTTTGAGAAAACCAAGTACTTCTTCTTTAAACTTGTTTAATTCTTCCCTGATAAAGGGAATAAGATTAAAGGCTTTCTTTAGGATAAATTTATGTTGTTGCAATGTTTTCCTGCCAAAAGAAAAAAGAAAAAATGGTTATGATTTTAAAATCAAAATAATATTTAGAAGATATCCCTTTGAAAGATTAAATCAATATTTAAATCAATTTTAATGTAAAGAAAATTTTTTAACACAAATACACATGTTCAAATAAATATTTAAGTAGCAAAAGAAATTCCCGTTGTTAGAGTTTCAATGAAGACTTAACTCCTTTTCAAGTTGGCATAAAAGAGAAGAAAATACAATGATCTATGGCAGCAGCTCCTAATCTTTTGGGCAACAGGGACCGGTCGGGTAGAGAGAGGTTTTTCCGTGGACCGGAAGGGGCGTGGTTTCACATGCTGCTTGCTTTCCACCGATGGTACTTTACTTATTTCCATGGCCCAGTTTCTTTTTTTTTATTGTTTTTTTTAATTTTAACATCAAAGTGCTCAGGAAAACACCGTGGTGAAAAGGGTAATCAATCATAACAAAACAAGTCATATATATATAAAACTAAAATTAATACCTTAAAAAAATCCCACTCCATTTCCTCACATGATATAACAAATTTAGTTTAATCTATTTCTTCTTAAAATTCAATCAATCCACAGAATCATCCCTACTATTACATCTACATAAATCACTCCTGCTTTTAAGCTCCACTAATTTCAATTAAAATATTCCAATTGATCTTAAACAAACATATTAATAAAATTATGGTTATCCCTTCTACAACACACATAATATTCCAAGAATAACATTCTAATATTTTCACATATATTCCATCTCCTAATTTAATACATCATTAATTAATACCCTTTCTTCTCTTATCATAGATCTCTCTAATTCTTCTGCTATTACAAAATAGTTTTCTATATAAACAGAGTAAACAAAAAACAAAAAAAGAATAATTTCGACCTGTTAAGTAAAATTTAACTCTCAACCAAATTACCTATCATATCTAAGACAAACATATTATTACATCAATTATTATCTTACTGCTTTCATTTACTCAATTAGATTGTCAAATCAGTCCAAATTTCTAAAGCCTTTTTGACCCAATAATTAAGATTTTAAATCACATTTTAAAATCTAATGTCGCATCTATGTCATCAAATCTCAGTATTTGAGTACTAAAGTTTATCAACAAATCGATCTGATCAAAATTCTCTTCCCCTTCTTCCAGTATCATATAAGCAATATAGTCCATTTTATTCCATATTATAATTTCAGCTTGATTATCCAGGTTGTCATAACTTTCAATCGATCGCGTCTGCCATGGCCCAGTTTCTATCAAGCCATAGACCGGGGGATAGGGACCCCTGATCTATGACATTCAGTGCAGGAAGGGGGTATATTTATGCTATGAGTCATTAGAACTATTGGTAAATCAGGATCCTTGCTTACACATTCTTAAAACTTCGGGCCGTTAGTTTGGTCAATAAACCTAAATTTACACATATATCTTTGTATATACTACTATAACTTTTTAAATACAGTTTTAAAAATTACCAAGAAAACAGATTTTTCAGGTAAATAACAGACAGACAGACCAACAATTTTACTAGAGAATAAATTCCCCCACAAATGACCTCATGTGAGAATTCTTACTGAACTAGTTGTGACTGTCTCCATATATCTTCCTTTTCTTTGTGAAAGCTTCTCGACTGTTTGTTTAGATTCTCTATTGCAGTTTCCTTATTTTCAAGTTCTGTAACTAATTCTTTTATTCTGAAAGAAATAAAATATATAATATTAATCTTTTACCTAAAAAAAAGTAATGAGTATCATTAATTCCTGCCTTGGATCCCATGATGCCCTTCTGTTCAAGGAAAGCCTCTTTTCTCATAGTTAGGCCTAATCCTTAACAGAGGATCAGAGAATTTCTTCATCTTGCTAAATGAAGAAAAAGAGGGGGCTTCATTTTGAGCATCTATTTGTACAGTATTGTTAACGTGCTTGTAAATTAAATCTCTTACACATGTGCAAAGTACGTTATAATAACTAGAGCATAACTAGTTCCTTATTGCAGAGTAAATCAAAATGACAGGGTGCAAGCAGTTTTGTACTGCAGAGCACAACGAACTGGCTGGAGTTCAAGCTGTAGGCACTTCAAACATTAAAGACTGCTATAAAATAGGGATATATAGTTATTTATCCATTTCCAATTTCTGATATAGTTACAGATATTTCACAGCATGAAGCCTGATGCTCACACTTAAAAAACAGTTGACATCAGTGCTAATAAATGAATACCGTATATTCTTTGGCTATATATTTGGTTCCAACATTACATTTAATAAGACGTTTCCCCCCCTCAAGATTTCAAAATTTCTTAATATATGCTTTACAAATTTTCTAAAATATCACCCATTTAATTAGAAAAGTCATATTCTTATTAACATATTTAAGCAATTAGCAGCATCTTTAAATAATCAAATGATGTAATAGTGTTTTATTTCTTTATGAACATATGAATGCATGAAACAAGCCTAGGCAGCTTTTCAACTAAAATAATTTTTTTGACAATAGTATCTAATTCTTTAGTACATTTTCCCTTGATAACTTCTTTGTTCTGTTTTTTCCAACTTTTTTCTCTTATATATATAATTTTATTTTGATGTTGTGAGCCACCCAGAGCCTTGCAGTGAGATGACTGGCAAAACAAACAAGCAAGCAAACAAACAAATCAAAAGGCAGAATTGATATATCAATTGGTATAAATAGGATACCAATATGTATTTAACTTATTTCATCTCACTGTTTTAGTTTTCCTATGTACTTGCTTCTTACATTCTACGTTCCAACTGTAGTTCTGCCTTTACAGCTTCAGATAACATCAGCAACTAATAGTCTGGAAACAAATATAACTGTATCAAAAACACAATTAGCACTCTGAAAGATTCTCAACTTCTTCTCAGTATGTTGAGTGGCATCTGACTCAAGAGGCCCTTTATCTAGCAATAGATTGACAATCACTTTATCCACATGGTTTCCTTGAAAAATACAGGAGTGGTTTATTATTGCCTTCTCCAGTGCAGTGTGAAATGATGCTTTTGCCATTGTCACTAAAATGATCATACACTTACAGCATTTTGCTATATTTCTGTTGATTTTCATACCTTGGGTGTACCTACTGAAAATACAGTCTTTAAACATTAAAATGATTAGTGCCTGCAGATCAGTAAAGAAGCAATAAGAACATAATGGAGGCGGTGGGGAATGGCAGATAGATATTTACCACTTTGCCTCCTAGTAAATAGAGGTGAAATTGTTGTCTCAGGCAATGCTAGGGGTTCTCAGCCTTCTATGCTCCACCCAACTGATTTCCAACAAACATAGAAATCTTTGCAAAGTTTTATTCTGTACTGGATAATTGATGCTTCAGAATAGATTCCAAATCAAGCAAGGCTAGTTCCTTTATAAAGTTCTTGCAAAGACATCCCCTTAATGGAATACACAATCACAAAATTGGCTTGGAACTCTTACTGCTCCTCCATTCCTATTACTGCTCCTTTGTTCTCACCACAGGAATTAATAGGAATCTGCAGTTAGCTTGTTTTCTGTTTATCTCTATCCCATGGAAATTGTCCTATTGGTCTGACATTTTATGTCCTGTTGAATAACAATTTCCTTGCAATTTGATTTCCATGTATTTTTACTATGTGTCATCTTTTATAACTCTAACCTACAATTTATTGTTGTTTCTCTGTTGTCTCGCCCCTCCACCTCTCTCTGATAAACTACCTGCATCAAGGATTGGAAAACATCCTGTCTTAAATGTAGCTAAATATTATCTTATCATTATGATCAGACAAATCATGGTAAATGATTTTCTCCAACATGCTCACAATATGTCAAATACATGCAGTGGCTTATGTCCCAGATAAATTTATGACGATATGCATGACCTCTCACCATCACAGCCAAGCACTACCTCCAGGATCAGAGACATCCTGAACACAGGTTGGTGGGAAAAGCAATCAAATTATTACTAATGTATTCATTTCCTGATTTTATAAGCATCTGTTTGGCCCCTGCACAAGTAGACTAGATAGTCTTTATTATTTAGGCAGAATCAGGATTAATTAAAATGAATTCTACTTAAAATTTCTAACACAGCTAGTTTCTTTTGCTTGCATTTTATTTGTCAAAATCGGAACTAAAATCTTGCCTGCACTGATAATATTTAACACGTGAAATTATGAAAACATTCTAAGTTCCATGGCTAATTAATTGCAGAAGCTAAAAGGAAAAAAAGAAAGAACATGGTGATCTTTTCTGCACTTGTACATTTTGCATAAACTGTGAAGCTGAAAATCTTGTTATCACAGCCAGAATATGGTTATACACTGAACAGAGGATAAATCAAGGGGGGGGGGGGGTGAGGGGAGACAAGAATAATGAAATGGAAACATCAGAGAAGCCAATATGCATTCTAAACTCCTGTCCCCACTTTAACACAGTGCAACACATGCTTCATCCTGGTTCATCCAAGCCGGGAATAAATAAGCAAACATGGTGACTGCTTTGGGAAGAAGGTTACAGTTTATTGCAGAAAGATGGTTCTTCAGGAAAGTGCAGAGGAGAGAGAAGGACAGAGAGCACAGAGAGAGATTGAGCACATGGGCAGTAGGTTTTATACCCCCCCTAGCCTTTTGTTTGGAATAGTTTCCTGTTCCTGTGGCATGAACCTTGAGACTCCAGGCCTTAATATCTGTGGTTTAATTCTGTTATCATATCCTGCTTCCCAGGTGATGGGGCTGACTCCTAGAGTTTGGGTGGGGTATGCAGATCTAAATTATGGTTTTACATCTTACAGATTCATTAGTTTTAAAGTATTATCAACCAAAACTTTGAAAGCATCAGACTGTGCCCCAGGCCCTATAAGACTGTCTTCAACTTGATCCAGCCCATAATTGAATCAATCTTAAATTATCTTTAGATTCATTAGTTTTAAAGTATTTCAACCAAAAGCTGATAAGTATCCCACTACGGCTTCAAGATATGGAAACTCTGTTATGCTTCACTATCTTCTAATCCAACTACTGTGAATGTAATCAGAGATTTCTTTTGAGAATGCTTGGAAGTACAGACAAACCCTCCATTGCTAGCCAGCTTCAACCACAGCTATTTTATCTCTTACCATCTGCTCTTTCTTTTTATACCCATCACCTCTTCACCTCAATATTTTTGACACCAACTTCTCTCCAAGTTTCATGTATTATTTGCATCAAAGACCTTTAAGCTGTTTTGGGGGGAAATGGAAAAAAGTCCATAGCTCATTTGTCAAGGAACACTTGGAATTGGAATACTGAGTATTCAAGAAAACTAATCAATAACCTCTTATCTTATGTATACAAAACTTATTTATTATTTATAATTTTTCCTCTTTACATATTGATGCCCTGCAATTCCTGTTTTGCATGCACACAACAGAGTCAATGATATGTACATTTATGCACACAACAGAGTCAATGATATGTACATTTATGCTATTTCTCTCTTGCTTCCTCAAAGATTTTTGATGGTATTATTTTTCTAGATTAAGATATCAAAGCAACTAAATTAAGTTTAAAAATCAGATAGCAACCTAACATATTTTAGGGAAAAAAAGAATTCAAAATTAAGTTATAAATAGATTAGAAAGGAAGTCTGAGGAATGATTCATAATATAATCTTACTTTACAGACATGTTTTAAGGACTGCTAAAAAAATAAAGTGCTCTGTACACTTTGAACTTTTATTGTTATGGGATAACAAATCTTCTCTATCATCAAAAGTTTATTTTGGAATCTGATGTTGTAATAGAGTTACATCCATATCTTATTATGATAAACAAAATGGCAGTTCATGCACTATATTAAGCCATGGTTTACAGAAGAAACTATGGTGGCTTCATTATATATGAACCAAGTTATAAAGCATGTTTTATAAATTATAATTGCTTGGTTCGTACATCTTAAGCTATCATTTCAGTACTGGAAATAACACAGCTTATATTACACTTGTTTCCTTAAGCAGTAAATAGAGGCTTATAAATAATAGCTCAAACTATGACTGATTAACATGAATTCCTCTGGAAATTATACCTGATGCAAGCTAAATCTGGCAAAACAGCTAAAGTGTGCTTGTCTCCGAATGATATTAATAGACATATTAATTTGAAAAGCAAGAATGGCTAGTAAATTCCAACCTTTCTGTTTTTGATTCACTAGCTGCTGTGCATTGTTCAAAATCTTGACTTAGACACTGTAGTTTTTCTTGCAGTATTTTCTCCCGTTCCACACTGCCCTCATAAAACTTCATCTTCTTTTCCATTGCTTTTACTTTCTCATCCAGTAGCTTAAATTCATGAAGGACCAAATAACTGACTCCACAATATTTACATATTGTTTCATCTCGGGACATCTAAAAAAATAAGCAACATGTACAGTGAAAAAAAACCCTAATCCTTTAAAAAAATTAATTAAAGCAACTTTTTATATGGAGTCAGAATAATGTCCACATAGCACATTATTCCAGTGGTGGACAATCAATGTTTCAGCATGGAGTCTGAAGTTACAACTGTACAATTCTTTATTATTACCTATACTGGATGGAATTTCTAACACATGTGGTTCAACGTACCTGAAAGAACAAAATAACCTACTCTTGAATTATTCACAAAATCATTTTTACCATTCTTCCTGGAAATTTAGACAAAATTTATATTCTCCAAATGGGCCAAATGTAAGGTGACCAACTTTTTTACAATAAAAAGGAGGACACAAATAAATTGAAGAAAAAAATATCGTAAATAAAAGAAACATTTTATTCATTGCAACAATAATACAGAATACACTATAAATGATAAATGATAAATGCATAATAAAAAACATTTGTAACAATAAAATTTTATATTGTAATTATGCTTACATGCGCACCTCCGCCCACAGCTGCCCCGCCAGCACTGCTGCCCCGCCGTGTAGAGCGGGCCCTGCGGCTCCCAAAGGACCAGCTGTGCTGGCTCCGGCCCCAGGGGGAAGCCCGCCATCAACACACCCCGCCTGCAGCCGCCCCGCCAACATCACCGCCCACCCTGCGCAGTCCCGTGTAGAGCAGGCCCCGTGGCTCTCACAGCACGGGGGGCAGTCGGCCACTGCTGCCCCTCACACCCCCGCCCACAGCAGCCCCGCTTCCCCTGCCTCTTGCGCCCCAGTCATTATTTCCCTAGCAGGGCCGAAGATTAAGAGAAAGTTACCATGGCGTCGCTGCTCCAGTCTCCTCCAAGTATCTTCGGGACTAACTAGGAGATGGTGTAGTTGGGTAGCAGGGAGGGGTGCAAAGTTCCTGCCAATTCACCTTTGCTGCAGACAACTTACATGTGCAAAGTTTGCTGGCCGGGGGTTTTGGCGCGCTCAGCAGCAATTCCTATTGGCTTTCGAAAGCCAATAGGGGGAGTAGCACAGCTCATGCAAAAGTTGAAAAAAAAACCATCAAAAAAAGATGCCGGAACGCCATTCTGAGCGTTCCATGAGAAAAAAAAAGCCCTGCAGATTAGTCTTCAAATATCGAAAAGGAGGACATGTAGGAGAACACTTTTCGAGGGAGGACAGAACTCACAAAAGGAGGACTGTCCTCCCTAAAGGAGGACGGTTGGTCATCTTACCAAATGGATATAATGTCCTTAAGGAACAAAATGAAAATCACAGATATTTACTCTGACATAGTGGAATATTTGTTATTTTCAAAAAAGTAACTAGGTTAAGATCTGTATAGAAATAACATCTGTTCTTATGTGTAGCAAAGAATATCTGTGCAGAAATTTGTTCTTTATAAAATTAAATAGGTTTTGTAAGCCTATCACTTTTATTACAAGCTATGATAATCTACAGTTCAGTGGCAGTATTAATTAGAATGCTGATGAGCTGGAATAGGAAAAGCAATTTCTACACTGAATACACAATCTAGTCTTCTGTCTACTTTCAATACCTGTGAGTTGTCATAAAAAAGCAGGAAAAGATGGCCAAAAAAATAGAACCACAGAAACATTCATACAGTAAGAGGAAGAAACATATTTTTAATCCTGGCTAAAAGTAATCAAAAATTATGGAAATTTCTCCATCAATTCTTCATTCATCCTATATCTTAAAGGATGAAATACTATCATTTGATGACAGAATTATTTATTAAACATTCAATACTATGACTCCTTCCAGAAATTAACTCCAAACTTAAAAATAATTTCTAATAAACAGTTATAACCACCATCTTGAAATGTGTTATCCTCAAAATGAACAGATTATAATGTTTGAAGAAAATATCACATGATGAAAAGCCACACGAGTCATGAGTCACACAGAAACTATGAAACTTGGTAGATATGAGATTATTAATCTTCTTAAACAAGATATATTTGAGGAAACAAATACATGTTTGAGTGAACCTGAATTTGCATTGCAGAAAAAGAGGCAGACTTCATTCACAAGCTCTGTCAATTTTATACAGTGTCCATTTTGTTAATTCCCTCCAATAAATCACAAATGCTTTGATTATTCCTACCTGGAAGCATGTACAATAAAATATATTGAAATATTAATGAAGCACACAGGACTAATGCTAAGAATATCGATGTCATAGTTCTAGTGAACCAAGGACAGGAAACAAGCAGAGAAGCAGATATAATTTGTTATAATTGCCAAAAAGTTCCACTTTGGTTGTTGTTTTCTTGCAACCTACTCTAAACAAACAAACAAATACAGAGAGACAAAAGCAACTCAGGGGAGTCATAAAAAGAATTCCAATGAATGAAAATTAAACTCCAAAAACCAAAATAAAATCCAATTACATGAAAACTATTGGCACATGCAACACATAAAATTAAATCAACATTTTCAAAACTTTTAACAATGTTTTTGGAAATTATAGAATGGTGAAAATAGTCTAAAGATGTGTGTTACAATTGCCTTGCTAAAGTTAAGCAGGGTATAGCTGTGACCATTAGAAAATCCCATGTATGGCGACTTGAATTACACAATGAAATGAAGGTGACAAAGAAACCTATAAAATAAGATACACGAAAAAGATAAATTTAAATAGTCTTAAAAAACTCAACTATACTATTAGCTTACATTTTCACTATCAATTCTTCTGAAGGTTTATAAACTTAACTGTAGTCCTCTTCATATATTTTTAAACATGGAGAGGTTGATATGAATACTGGCTTGGTTACTATATGCCAATTTGAGCATGCAGACTTTCTTGAACCCTACCTCTCAATGTGACAAAGACCCCTGATGAGGGATGGGGCATGCTCACATTAGATACATATGGACCTAGGGCCTGAGTGTATGATTTTCACTTTAAGAGATGAATGAAGTTGGTAATGTTTAACTGCTTTTTTGTGCAGCAATTGGCAAAGAAAAGTAACTTTCCTCTGAACAGGGAGATTCTTCTGAGCTAAAGTGAGTTATATAATAAAATCATTGTACTGATCTTCTGCTGCCAAGTATGACTCCTCATTTAAAGTTTAATTCAAGTTGTAATCAGTTAAGTGAAGGGCAGTATGAGATATATAGTACAGAGGTGATAGAAAAAGCTACCTAAAATTGACAAAAAAAGGCCAGTTATTAGATGTTAGACATGACACATAGGACAGCAACAGAAAAAAGCAAAATTCAAGTAGGTACCAACAAGAGCCTTCTACAAAACAATCCAACTTGAGTGATTTTCGACTTTATGAATTATTTGCATACCTGCCTTTTTTCTAACATAAAGAGCAGCAGCATAGCAATGCAAATATTTTAAATAAATATATTTGTCTCTTTTGCTCTGAATTTTATCTTCCAAACAAATCTCTTGTCTCCTAAGGAAAGGATAGATGGAGATGGACTAAAGCACAATATTAAATCCTGTCACCCAATGAGTTTCATGGCTATTTCAAATACCTGCAGCTAAATTTCCCCACTATACTGTAACACTGTAATCTATGCTGGCAGTTCTATGCCATATTCTTTTAAAATAACCAGTGGGCATCGCAAGGTAATCTAATCTATCTAACTCACTGCACAACATATTAAGACACTGATGATTTACTAAAATGAAATAATGGTATTTGCTTTCCTTCAAAACACATTAAAAGTGCTTCTCATCAAATTATCAAAATGTATATAAAAGAAAATATAGTAGATATCATCTGTTACATTTTCTTGAAACATATTTATTGTACTACAATTGTGTTAATGTTATATTATACTGAAGCCTTTAAACTATGAGAAAAGAATAGGACAAAATAACAAAAAATGGGAATTGATATGATGGATATTAAATAACAACCCTTCTTGAGAAAAGGAGAACAAAGATATGTAAATACTACCAAAAGGTTAAAAGTGAAAATCAAGTTGTTTTGAAAAAGACAAATAATGAACACTCATCATGTTTATTTATGAGACAAGCCATAATCAAATTAATTGGCATGTCTCAAATATATATTAACAATTTTCTAATAAAGTATGTACCTGTGATATTGGACTCTGGTTTGCTATGCTTGCCTTTATTTCTCCTAACTCTTCTTTGCCTCATGAAGCCTGATCATAGTTACAGTGGCTCTGAAGGAAATGAAAAATTAATTCTATTTTTCCTGGCAGTAACAACCTGTGCCCAGAAATATGAAACTATCATTCAGAATAAATACCATAAGGTTCCAAAGTACTAAAATTTCTTATTGAAAGAGGACAAACTGAACTATAACATGAAAGAAAAGGAGAGGCTGTTATCCTAAAAAGAACACTGTGATTTCTTGTAGCACCACCACTTTTGAATTTCAAAATAAACAATTTCAGACATTCCAATGTATGTATCTACTTTCAGAAAGATACCGAACTGGATGGGGAGAAGTTTGGGATAGTGAGCAATTCTGTTTGGACCCTATATAATCTGAAAATAATAAATTCAACCCTGAGTAAGACACATTTAGTGTTACCAACCAGAGTAACTTTCAGCTAAGGAATAGAACCACGTGCTCATCTATATTTCTTTCAAAAACTTATTTTGCCTTCTCTGTATGCTCACAAATTCACATAAAGCAAATGATATAGAATAATTGGAATACATTATTATCAAGATAATATTTCTCCATATATATTTTATTATACAGAAGACAAAAGTGTATCTCTGTGCTATAAGACTGAACATAGTATGATTTGAAATGCTAAAAATTGCATTTTGCTATAGCATTTAATTCTAGCTTCTTATGATCATTTCTGAATAAAACTCAGTAATCAGCATAGATAGACCATTAGCTACTTCACACCCTAAATAGCAGCAGTCCAGTTTTGTCAGTGAACTGTCCAACAGAAGAATGCAGGAATCATTGGTTACTTGACAAGTATCAGTATGATGCAAGTGTCTGTTTCATTGCCATATTATAGTGGATGAAAATATATACATATCTCCAGAATCAAGCAAAATGTGATTATTTTGATGATCTTCCACATTAATTTATTTTTGAATAATGCTTCCTTTTCAAAGTATTAACATGTATCTCAACTAATTTCTTTCCTATCAGCAATATGTATCAGCAAGTTTAAATTTAAATTTGTCCATTTGCCTGCCTCTCTAACCAAAATAGGCTTACATGGGATGATAATTGTTATTCAAGTTAAATAAAAATGTACTTGTGGAAATATGACTGACCTGAGGAAACATGGAACAGGAACCAGGGAGTGATTTCTTTAATTGTTGCACATCTGACAATTGACAAGTCAGAAGTATGTGGTTGCTGTATAAGAGGAATGTCATTTTGGTACCATGGTAAATTAACATGAGTGATAAATGTTAAGATAATCCTTTAGAACCATGGTGGCGACCTATGGCATGCATGCCACAGGTGGCACGCAGAGCCCTCTCTGTGGGCATGTGCACCATCGCCCCAGTCCTGGGCTTTCAGTTCAGTTTTATAAAACCTTTTCGCTTTAGGCCTCTGCTGCCATGTGCAAAAAAAAAAAAGGTTAAATCAATCAATTTCAACTTCTTGCGGGAAAAAAAAAGATCTTTAAAGTTGGAATTGATTGATTGAACTTTTTAGTCCCACCCAGTCTGCCGTTACCACCACAGCCACACCCACCCAATGGGCCACGCCCACCTGGCATCCAACGATACATAATTGGGTTCTGGGTTGCAGTTTGGGCACTCGGTCTCTAAAAGGTTCACCATCACTGCTTTAGAATATTAATATATTCAATATAATTTGAAACCACTGTGGTCCATTATATTATGTACTTTTACAAACTGTTGTACTTATACTTTTACTCTATAAATTCTATTTTCAGAAGTGTACGTTGGCTTCCTCTGTATTTCTGATAAATGTTTATTTAAAATGGATTATATTATAAAAAAGAGAACCACTATGATATAGTGTTTAAGTTGCTAGGAGCAGAGAGATCCAGGTTCTAATCTTCTTTTATAAAGAGAAGCTAGTTGGTGACTTTATGTCAATCGTTCTACCTAAGCACTAATAATAATAAAAAGCAATGCATTGATAAGTAAAGAGTATCCAAGGATAACAACAAAAATAATTAAATAATACAGGCAACAGAGAAAGAAGATTGTGTCTTTTGCTCTGAAAAGTATCAAATGCATAAAAGTTTAATAAATAAAAAAATATATAATTAATGGAAAGTCATGTGGGGGAGTCATAAGAAACCAAAGAAATATATCTACCTACATGAAACAATGGTGCAATAAAGAGCAATGCTAAAAACATCACACCATTTAATAACAATCCTTTATGTAGATTGTATTGTGTATGGAGGAAGAAGATTAGCTAACCTTTGTTACAATCTAAATGCTACAAACACACTGTTGTGAGACAGGGATAACTTCAGAGGTCTCGTGGCACTTAGCCTTGTGACTGCTGTTGATTCCTATCACGCTGTCACTAATGATTATACATTTCAAGCTGAAGATTTATTTAGAAATAAAATTGCACTTTCTAATAACTGAGTTTAGGATTTCATATAAAAGCAATACTGTAAGCCATTCCCCCCCCCAAAGATATGCAGAAAATGAATAGGGGACAGAATTAAATGTTATAAAGTCAAAAACAGTCATAGTTGCTCCTCTTCAAATATACAGCTTGCATATTTTAACTATCATTTTTGCTATTCCTTATTCTCTCTATTCCTTATTCGCTACTGTTACTTTCCTTTTTTTCTTATTCTCTACACTCAGCCACCTTATCTATTTTGACAACGATACTATATTTAAGCTAAGTCCCACTGAAATAAAAGATAAATCTCAGTTCAAAGGAATATTATTCACTAGTTAAGAATCCATGTGATTTAAGATTTAATTGTGTCTGCTCTCAATTATCTAATAGGTTACTGTGAAAGACTTTTCAAAAACTTAATAATGAAATCATGCCAAACAGAGTGTCATGTACATAGATAAATCTGATGGAACATCTGACAGACCCTGGAAAGTAGAGGAAGAAATATGACTATGGCATCTCAGCTCAATGGAAGGGGAAAGCAGAAGACTAGGAGTAATTTCACCTTAATTATGCTAGATATAAGTTCAGGCTTTCTGAACTCATATCTAGGATTTCACGATTTTGCTACATTCCCCCCACCAAAAATCCAAAAGATTCTAATTTATTCACTTTCCAGTCTGACTATATTTTACGGCATGATAACATTTAATCTCATCATATGAATAGCACTGTCAGGATTCATTCAATAAATATGTTTGTTGTATTATTAATGTAGCTAGAGTAACAAAAAATACCAAATCAGTAACACTTTTCTGAGTAACAGAAAGAAATCTACTGCTTTTGAAGAAGTCTGCTGGCTCATACAGTACATGACACGGCAGTAAATGCATAGTTGGGATTTTCATTTGGGAAAAATCTAAAAGCACATACCTCATTACAATTAATGGTGTGGAAATGAGTTTACTCCAGATTGTACATGGCAAACAAGGAGGAAATAGAAGCAATGGAACTAGACCTAATTCTGTCAAACCCAAATGGCTATGCTTTTTCAGGACCTAATGCTGTTGGAAAATCACAGCCATGAATTCGTGCCCTGCAACTTTCCACCAGTAAAAGTAGAACTTCCAAAGCTGACACTTCTTCCCTAAAATAGCTAGTGGTGGGAGATACTAACCATCCAAAAGATTAGAATTTTTCTGTTTATATCTATATAACATGTGAACATAATGTACTTTGACATTAATTGTATTAATTAACTGTAGATTTTAATGCAATTAATATAATGGCACAGTATCTTCATTGACTCAGATTTCCATCCTTCCAAAGTTGGTAAAATGAGGACCCAGATTGCTGGGGCCAATATGCTGACTCTGTAAACCGCTTAGAGAGAGGCTATAAAGCATTATGGAGCAGTATGCCTAAGTGCTATTGCTATTGCTATATGCTTTTATAAAAGTTTCTCAGTTATAGGCCAGTTATTTTCCACAAGGTCTGCTGCAGTCTGTGTTGCATTCTGTGATCTGGAAATTTTGTATGTTCTCTGAAATCTTCTGACTCATTAAAAAAAAAAAATCAGTCCTGTAATTTTATGGACATGACATCTATTCTACCCTTCTGTATAGCCAATTTTCCAGTGTTATCAAGCCCTTTAATTTCATATTTTTCTTAACAGACATTATATCTGTCTGCTTCAGAATTCCTCCCCTCCCAAGATTTTTCATTTTTGTGTGCGCATGTGTATGCGTGTAAATCTTTTATATAGGAAAAGATATAAGTTGATTTGTTTTTTTAAAAAAATATATAAGACTTCTCAAGAATAGCAGAATGTGCATGAGGAAAAACATACTAATATTAAAGCAGAAATACGAATATATATAAAATTGTGGCCTGGTAATAGCTGTAAACCTTTAGAAAAAACCAAACCCAACACATTTTCTTGCAAAATCATACCTTTCTTATTTCTTCTGGCAAAGGATACACAGGTATATGTCGATCCATTTCTTTCTATATTTTTTTAAAGAATTATCAGAAGACTGTCACAAAACCTATTAACAAATAAACACATAAAATAAAAATAAATTAGGATATAGAATAGTGAAGTTCTTTCTTCTGTCCATTTGATAAGCCGGAAAAACAAATATCTTTCTCATTATCTGCAGGATTAAATGCCACATTTATTTTCCTTCCTGAGGATGATAAGAATTATATATGCTGCAAATGTAAGCAGAGTTCTGAACCACTGCACCACATCTTTCATAAATCCTAGAGCACCGGGGAAGTACCTGAGGATCGGAAAAGGGCTGATGTGGTCCCCATCTTCAAGAAAGGGAAAAAAATGGACCCAGGAAACTACAGACCAATCAGTTTAACATCAATACCTGGGAAGATCCTAGAAAAAATAATCAAAAAAACGATCTGCAACTAGAAGCAAACAAACTAGTAGCCAGCACAGGTCTGTTAAAAACAGATCATGCCAAACCAATCTAATCTCATTCTTTAATAAAGTGACTAAACTAGTAGACCAGCGAAATGCAGTAGACATAGTATACTTAGATTTCAGTAAGGCATTTGACAAAGTAGACCACAATCTACTCCTTGGTAAGCTAGGAAAAGGTGAAAGAGACAATATCACCACCAGGTGGATCTGTAGCTGGTTGACAAACTGTTCTCAACAAGTAATCCTCAATGGCATTACATCCACGTGGAGAGAAGTAAGCAGTGAAGTACCACAAGGTTCTGTCTTAGGCCCAGTACTCTTCAATATCTTCATAAATGACTTAAATGAGGGAATTGAAGGGGCACTCATCAAACTTGCAGATGACACCAAACTGACAGGAGTAGCCAACACCCCAGAAGACAAACTCAGGATCCAAAAAGATCTTGACAAACTTGAACAATGAGCCCTAGCTAACAAAATGACTTTTAATGTAGAGAAAAGTAAAGTTTTACATTTGGGCAAGAAAAACCAAAGGTACAAATACAGATTGGGAGAGACCTGGCTTTAAAACAGCAACTGTGAAAGGGACCTTGGAGTCCTAGTGGACGAACACTTGACTATGAGCCAGCAGTGTGCAGCAGCAACCCAAAAAAAACTAATACAATTCTGGGTTGTATAAACAGAGGCATAGAATCAAGATCATGCGAAGTATTAATACCGCTTTATAAAACCCTAGTAAGACTATACCTGGAATACTGCAGCCAATTTTGGTCACAAAAAAGATGTAGAGAATTTGGAAAAAAAATTCAGAGAAGAGCAACAAAGATGATCAAAGGCCTGGCTACTAAAACATATGAAGAACAGTTATGGGACTTGGATTTGGCTACTTTAAAGAAAAGAAGAAATAGGAAAGACATGATAGCAGTGTTCCAGTATCTGAGGGGCTGGCACAAGGCAAAGGGACCCACGTTGTTCACCAAAGCACCAGAGGAAAGGACGAGAAATAATGGTTGGAAACTGATCAAAGAGAAAAGCAACCTGGAATTAAGGAGAAACTTCCTGACAGTGAGGACAATCAACCAGTGGAACAGCTTATCCCCAGAAATTGTGGGCACTCCATCACTGGAGATTTTTAAGAAGAGACTAGACATTCACCTGTCTGAGATGCTATAGGTTCTCCTGCTTGAGTAGGGGGCTGGACTAGAAGACCTCCAAGGTCCCTTCCAGATTCTACTCTACTCTATTCTACTCTATTCTACTCTATTCTACTCTACTCTATTCTATTCTATTCTGAATGTACAACTGCAAAAGAAAACAAAGGTGGTAGAGGCACAACGGTTTACCTCCAGACTATCAGAGAAGCTAAGGATTTCTTAGATTGAATACAGAAAGCACTTCCTTAGGGAGAAGGGTACCAAGAACTATCCTAAAGATACAAGAAAGCCAGGCAGACCCAGCATTTTTGACAAAAAAAAGGGATCCAAGAGGATATCATAATGTTCCAACATGACTCTTAGATATAATAAGTTTGCTTATGGAAACTTAAACTCATTAATGTTAATATCTTTATTTACCTGGATTGCCACTTGCTTCTTATGTCAATGGTTCTGCTTAGGTCAGTTAAAACAGAGGTCCCCAACCTTTTGGGCACCAGGGACCAGTTACGTGGAAAGAGATTTTTCCATGGACTGGAGGGGGCATGGTTTTGTATGCTGCCAGCATCCTGTGGATGGGGCTTTTCTTGTTTGTGTGGACTGGTTGCTGGCATGCCGCAGCCTGGAAATGGTCCACAGACCAGGGGCTGGGGACCCCTGAATTAAAACACAGGTTCTACTCAAGGAAAATACCAAATAAACTAGAAATTGTGAAGCTGTTCTCTTTCTTGCTTCATCTGTTACTATTGTAACATTTTCGGCAAGTAACATGCCCATTATTCTTTTTCTTGGAGCCTCTTTCTGTGTTCTTGGGGAAATCATGAAGAATGTGCAGAAGACTGAAGAAAAGCAAAAGGTTTTTTTTTTTTTGCCTTTAAAAATAACTTTTCTCAAAAAGGAGAAAAAGGACCATGTTACTACAGACCAGTCACCTTGCTTGAACTTTGAAACAGATTATTTAAAGAGTTAGTTAGTCAGCTTTTTAAAAAGAACATATTGCTATGCAAGGTTTATGAAGAGCATGTTGTGACAAACAAATCTGAACTCTTTTTCTGATATAATAACTTGTTTAATTTAATATGGTAATGTACTGAACACAGTATACCTGGCTTAAGCAAAGCATTTGACAAAATCTTCCATGAGATTATTTGAAAAGATTGCAAATTATGAGCTGAGTATGCTATTATTCATATATTCACAACAGTGAATTGATAAGTATATGCCAATGGCTCCATATAAAGCCGGAATAAGGTTTCAAATATTATACTATAGGGCTCCATTCCAGGTTACACACACATAAGGACAGAGAAATAGCAAGTGGAAGACAGCATTAAGATTCAGGAAGATTCTGACGAGTTGGAATAATAATCAGAAACCAGCAAGATGAATTTCAACAAAACAATGTAATACTCTTTATTTGGATAGAAAAAAAAGCAAAGCCATGAGTGTAGGAGAGGATGCATATGAATATATGCAAAAATAATTATATGGATAATGTAATCATAAACTGAAGATGAGTAAACGGTGTGGTGTTACTACAAAAAAAAAAGATGCAGTCTTAGGCTACACAAACAGATCTAAAGTATCACATCAAGCGATGTCTCTCCATTCTGCATTGGTTGGATAAAAACTAGAATATGCTCTGCATTTTAGGAAAGATACTGGCAAACTAGAATATTACAGAAAACAGCAATGAAAATGATAAGGGGCTTGGAATGAAAAATTAAAGATGAATAAAGTAGACAGAGTAGGGATTGCTCCAAAAAACAGAACAAGATACAACAGGTGTAAATTATAGATTTTTGTTAGACATCAGGAAAATTTCTAAATAGTAAGAAATGTTCAGCAATGGAACATATTGCGGTGGGGGGGGAGAGGTAGATTTTCTTATGCTGTAAGTATTTAAACAGAGGCTTGTTAGCCCTCTGTCAAGGATACTGCAATACTGGATTTCTGCAATGGCAGGAAGCTGGACTAGATAATGTCTAAGATCTCTTCAAACTGTTACATTCTATGATTCATGAAATGTCATATTGTTTAGTAAAGCATATTCCATTCCGAAGCACATTTCACAGGATTAAAATTAAATGTAGAATTTCACAGCTCAGATTTATTTAAATAGGGCAATTCATTTTAAAAGAACAAGCTTGTAAGAAAGAGAAAGAACTATGTAACTCAAGTACAATTCTGATGAGTGAACAATTTCTCTTTAAAAATATAAATAAAAGGGGAGACAAGGAGCTTCCAATTCCCTCAGGCAATTTTCCTCTTCTAATCCTTTTGCCCCATGCCCTTTTCTACACAGCAGGTCTAACAGGAAGTAATACTATTCTCAGGGAAGAGGCTAACTCAGCAACAGAACCCAGACTCTGTACACAGCAGGAGGGGTAAATTATAGGAGTCTACCAACCTCTCTCTGAGAGTTTGATGAAGATAAATCTCCAAATAATTTGCTATATTTGGGGAGAATATCGACTGTTTCTATTTGTTTAACAAAAGATTCCCATCTCCTCCACCCTTCTTCAATTCAGCTGCTGACCAAGGAGACTAGAAGGTTAGAAGATATTGAATGTTTGTGTAGGGTTTATGAGGTCACTTCTAGGAACATCAATTCCTTGGCACAGCTTGCTCAGAGAGCACCCGGCTCCTCTTTTCCTAGCATGAAATCTTGTTCTGCTTGATGTGCCATCATGTTATGCTTGGTCCTAATGATGAGGCCTCGCAGTTCCAGCAAAAGAGCTATCAAGTTATTTCCCATAAAGCTGAAAGGTGCCCTTTTCTTTTAACAAGAGATCCAGTCTTTGGCAATTCTGTTTTAAAAGATCTCGGAGTAGAAGTGGGGGGAAATTCTCTCCGTGGAAAGCTTAACAGTCACGGGTGGGCTCAAAGGTGCTTTTTTTTTTTCCAAAAAGCAACTGGAGGGTTTTTTTTTTTCTTTCTTTGAGGAAGAAGACAATCCAGTTGCCTTTTGAAAAAAAAACAACTGTGACCTGGATGATTGAGAATTTCCACAGACAGTCACGGGTGGAGAAATAATTATCTGACTCCAGTGAGGGTTCAAAGGCGCGCATATGAGCCAGTCACTCCACTGTTCGTACTCAGCCCACGGGTTTGGCGGGTTTAGGGTGCAGCGTTTCGTGCGGATACAAGAACACGGGGTTAAAGGCAACAGACACCAGTGGTAAGGACCCAGACAAACTCACCCCCAAGCTCAGCTAGCAAAACACCGCGGGCAGCAGCAACGAAAGCCGCGCAAGTTGTCAACGCCCCACCAGGAGCTTCTCCGCTTCTTCGTTTCCATAGCAACCAACTAGCATGCCAGGCCAAGTCCCGGAAGTAGGGCAGAGGCGAAGACCGGAAGTATTGCTTCTGGGCTGGGTGTGTCTCTCTCGGGTTCTTTTTCGGGATCGGGTTTGACGGCTGAGTTCAGGCAGTTGCCTCCTAATGTTATGCATGGAGGTGAGGCCCTCACGGGGCTTGGTATTATGTGTGCATTAGTAATAGTATGCAACCGCTGGTGCGCGGAAGTTTTTTTACAGGAATTGATGGCAGTGAGGTTTAGCTCGCCATGTGAAGAGGTTGGTGTGATGAAGTTTATTGCTCAGTTCTGGAGAAGTCGCTTTTTCAATTGCCAAATTATATCAACCCAGAGTTCGCTGGGTTCGGTAAGTATTAATTTGGCAAATTACTAATACTGTCATCAGTGTACTTCAATCATTACATCATGCCATCATATAAACACATTAATTTTGTGCCATGTGCCATTTCAACTGTATTAACATCTGGAAAAGGACTAGAATGAAGAGTATCATGATCCTTTAAGAGATGGCCCCCAAAACAAGTAATTCTTATGTTCCTGTATTCCTACAAGGGACTGTTGGGACTGATCAAGCCTTACTAGAAAATACAAAAAGTTCAGGAAACATGGTACTTGGGAGCAGTAGCATAAAATAATTCTATATTGCACATCGTTTCATCTAGAATTCAAACCTTTGGATCGGAAAATATGCACAGGAGTGTAAAATGAATGCAGCTTTTAATTCAGAGAGTAAACAATAAAAATTATAAGACTGAATCTCTGTATATAAAAAAAAAGTACTGGGGATGCTTTCTGACCCTCAATGTGACAACTTCATGCTGTCCTTGACATTGAATTGTGTTATTAAATTATAAAAGAGGAAAGAGTCATTAGGCCATTCACCCCCTTGTTTAATGCAAGAATATAGCTGTCCAGAGAGTTAACATATAATTGTTTATACTTACAGAAAGTGACAGGAAAGAAGTGCATTTCTTCAGGATGAAATTATATTACACAGTTTATATTTTAATTATACAAAAACAATATTAGCAATTTACTTTAAACTCAAATAAAATGAAAAGTGTTTTATAAATATTATATCCTCGCATAGTTGATTTATGGCACAGAAATAACAGTGATGAGTAATAGAATGCCCTTTCAGCCTTCAAAACTATAACAGTTTTACTAGATAGTGTGACTATATTCAGAATATGTAGCGAAAATGTGTGTCATATCTGGTTTTGCTATGCAAATGATGTTATTCAGCTCTCTGAATAGCTTTAAAATATTTTAAGTCTCTGATCTCTGCAAATTGATATGTCAATTTGTATATACTTTCAAGTGTAGGGTAAGCAACATGTTGTTGAAGAAGAGCTCCCAACATTGTCATCCTTGGGCCTATTGACTGGGCTAATGGGAGTTGTAGCTAAACATTTAGAAGGCCAAGTATTGTTCGCTCTGCCTTAGTGTCTAGTGCATGATTAATATTACTGATTCTGTCCTGAGCTACTTTAGTTAGTATAAGTCAATTGTCTTGTAAAAAACAAAATGGATCCCATAAAGTTGTTCATAATTGCTGCAGACCACATGTTTGCTTTCTCCAAAATGTATTTGGAGGTAGTAATTGATTGTAAAGAAACTTTTTTTCAGGAACTGCATGCAGTTATTTAACAGCTTCTGATAAGCCTCCAAAGAACATTCAGTTTCCCTCAATTGTAATTTTAAAAAGCTGTGTTTTGGGGTATTGTGTAGTGAGACATTGCAAGGTTAATAATACTTAATTTACACATAAGCCATGAGCCACATAAGCCACAACTGGTTGAATTCATGTAGCATATTATAAACCAGAGTTTACAAGTCTGTGTCTTGGCTCACAGAAATGTGCTAAGCCAGAAACAAGGTACAGCATAATGAAAAGTGTAAATATATAACTAGAGCTCTTGCCTCCCTTAATATGAAAGTGCTTATCTAAGGGGGCTTGCCAATGTTGTAAAAGCATCCATTTGTTCTCCTAGGCTTTTAAGATACTAGAATTTATTGTTGCTCTCATTTATGTTGTATTTTATTTTGTTCTAACAACAACTGTAAAAGATTACAGCATCTAAGTGAATTTTTTTCTCATCAAGTGCTAATACTGGCATAAAAAAACAAACAAACCAGGAAGTAAAGTAGTCCTCGACTTACAACCACAATTGAGCCCAAAATTTCTGTTGCTGAGACAGTTGTTAAGTGAGGTTTGCCCCATTTTACAAGCTTTCTTGTTACGTTTTATTAAGTGAATCACTACAGCTAGTAACACAATTGTTAATGAATCTGGCTTCCCTATTGACTTTGTTGTCAGGTCATAAAAGGTAATCACATGACCATGGGACACTGTAACCATCATAAATACAAGTCATTTGCCAGGCATCTAAATTTTGATCATATGACCATGAGAATGCTGCAATGGTCATAAGTGTGGAAAAACTGTGATGTCACTTTTTCAGTGCCATTGTAACCTTAATGGTCACTAAATTAACTATTATAAGTCAAGGACTACCTGTAGTTGTTCCAAAGAAGGTCCTCAGGTCGAGGTCCTTTTTTGTCCCTTCACAGTAGCCATCGCCAGTCACAGAATACCATAGCCATTGTTGCTCAGCTGCCATTCAAGGACTGAATTGCAATGAACCAAAAAGCCATAGAATGAGAGTGAAGCCTGATTATAACTTTTTTACTTGTGTTAACTCTTGGTCCAGGCATGCTATCATCTCTCCTGGTTTACAGGGTATTCTGTGCAGTCTAATAGACTGTAACATCCTGGTATGTACTTTCAGAATCCACAGCCTCTGCTATGTCTCCAGTTAAAATCAGTGATCTGGGCTTTGAGCAGGCACAGCACTTTCAGTTACAATAGGAGGAAAGGCCAGGAAAAGAGGCATCACCTGATTATTTGAGGTTACTGAAATCAACACGCAAGCCTGATTTCACTAGAACTCTGTGACCCAGGAGCTGTCTGTTAGAGCTAGCTCAGTGCCTCTAAACTAGGACATCTGTTTACCCTGTACTTAAATTGCTTTTGCTCAATCAGTCCTGGCTGAAAGCTTACTCAGAACAAAATATAACACAGGATAATTCTGAGAATAAGCATTTCTGTTGTGACTCCTTCCCATGGAATTAATCCCCCCTCCCTCATGATTATGCCTTTCTTTCATCTGAGTGATGAGTCTTTACTATCCTATCAAGGATAAGGCTTGATGACATCCTGGTTTTTTTGTCTGTTTTTTTGTTCAAGCCTGCCTTGCTCTTACAGCATCCTTTTAAATAGACCTGTTTTGTTGTCAAAGAGATGAAGTTATCATAGGTTTCGGTGAAAGGCTCAACTGGCTTGCCCCCACCCAACAACTTTCATGAGCAAAGAACTGGTCATGTGGTTCCGTTTTTCTTTATAAACACCCTCATAATGGTTCAGATAAGAATGTAGGTTAGTTGATTTCTGTAATCTTAGGGAAGGGGAGCTCAGTCTGTGAACTGATTTCAAAGGGACACAGTGCATTTCAGTTAGATGATATGAAAATGCTGCCGCTGGGATATTAGAAATGGTTTGAATGTCCCAGGTAGAGTTGGAAATTATGCTGATGGTCAGTGTAGATAGCATTGATATACTCAATGGACCAACAGCCTGATTTAGTAGCTGGATTTGCACGTTGTGCTAAGTGGATTAGTTTGGATTTCACTTAGGGTATTATGTTAACTCAACCACTGATTTATGCCCTTGGTCTAAGGCTTTAGCCAGTTGTGGTTGTCAATAAATCATGGTTAAACAAATCAGTTTGGCATGAATTGCAGATTTAATCAGAACAAGGCAAGTTGCTCTGTTCGTATACAGTGAGGGAAAAAATTAGTTAATTCCCTGCTGATTTTGGAGGTTTGGCCACTGACAAAGAAATGATCAGTCTATAATTTTAATGGTAGGTTTATTTTAACAGTGAGAGACAGAATAACAAAAAAAATCTAGAAAAACACATTTCAAAAAAGTTATAAATTGATTTGTAGATAAAGATGCCTGGAAGATAAAGATAAAAAGAAATCTTGTAGTGACTTTCAAACCGTCCTCAGGCAGAGAAAGGTGATATTTAAAAAGAAAATAACTGAAGAACTGCTAAAGTTATACTGAACAACCTAGATTCTGTAGAGGCACTCGCGGCGCACATCTTTGCACGTTCACCCTTTGGGGGCTAAAGCCAGTCAAGGGTGTTTTATCCTGCCCTTACGAGAAGCGAGATCTGGTCAGAACAAGTCCGCCTTCCGATAAACGCGGAGACTCCGCGTTCCAGTTTCTGCTGCGCTCCCAGGACGAATGTTCCCTGCTCGTCCCAAGCTGCCCCGCCTTGGATTAGCAATTAGGTATCTCTTGCCAAGCGCGAAACCTGCAAAGCAGCTCCGCAGTAGCAACAGGAAGATGACGGCGGGGTCACTGGGGCAGGAGGGAGCAGAGAAGTGCGTGCGCGCTGCACCGTCAACCCGCTGATTCCGTCTCAGCACGCAAGCCCAGCGCTTAGAAGGCAGGAGCAGCTGGTATTGCGTGCCAGTCGTACACGCGAGGTACTGAAGGAGTCAAGGTCCAGCACGGAAACCGCGGGCGCTTTGGCTCCGGCTCCGCCTTCCTTGTGCGTGTCAAGGCAGGCAAGCGACTTGAAGGTTGCCTTCCCCGGGGAGCCGCGGCGCGGCTTCGCACGGTGTGATTCAACCCAGGGAGGGAAGTGGCTGAGGCTGCAAAGCGATAGTTGTCACGATCTGCTTCCCTGGGAGACGCGGCCTCAAAGCGGGGCGCACAGCACGCCTTGGAAAGAAGGGAGCGCAATTGTACCGCAGGGCACGACTCGAACGTAGGAGGCGGCAGAGAGAGAAGAGGTCAGCCTTCTGATTACCGGTCACGCTCGAAGAGGACGGAGTTGACGTTGAAAAGGCCAAATTGTGACGAGGCTTTAGAGTCACAGTGGCTGTGTATTATATAGAAATGTTAGGGTATAATATCAAAGAAGTGCAGGCGTGACCTAACCTGATAT